AAATGAGCACAAATGCACAACAGGTGTGTCTGCTGATGAGAACACACCTTCATCAGCTCATCAGGGGAACAGAGCCATAAGCAGACAGTGTATCATGAAGCAAAGCAGCTCATGTGACTACAGTCCAATATAATGCAGTGATGTGAGTTTGCAGTGAAATCCTCCACAGCCTGTTTGGCTGTTTGCCCACAGCTTGGACTGACAGGTGCAGCTTCTACCTGGAACCAGGAGCTCCGGAGGGGAGGGGGAGGCTGGAGGGTGGAGTTAAATATCCTCCCACTGGGTGACGGTCCAGACAGGCGGAGTAGACGGATTACTACCGCCGACCGAACACAGAGAGCAGCCGGAGCCGCAGTCCTCCGTCCTGATCCGAGCTGGAGGCGGCCAGGCGGCTGCTGATGGAGGCGGCCGTGCTGAACCCCGCCATGGTGCCGGAGGTGGACTGCAACAGCAACTCGCTGAACGCCGAGCTGGAGGTGAAGAAGCTGCAGGAGCTGGTGCGCAAACTGGAGCGGCAGAACGAGCAGCTGCGGACCCGAGCCGGCGGCTGCACCGGCGGCCCGCATGCGCTGCCTCCGTCCGCGGTGTGCGTGCTCGGCGGCGCCGGCGGACTGTGCCTCCCGTCGCCCGCCCTGCTGTCCTTGGGGCCGTTCGGTCCTCCGGAGGAGCCTTTCGACTATTTCCACCCGCACGGCGCCGGGGACGGAGCGGCTGCTGCGGGGGAGGCGGAGGACGCAGCCGAACCGTCGGTTCTGGATGAGCTGGAGCTTCTGGATCTGGATTCTCTGAGCTGCTCGGACGAGTCCGATGAAACATGGTAACTGTCGAGTTTTGATTTCCAACCATTTGTTGCTTTTTGTGGCGTCCATCGTGTGTGTGTGTCAGCTTTGTGTGCTGACAAACAAAGCAGCAGCTCGGAGGTTCTGCTCAGTCACACTTTGAGGCCTTTTCTGGATGTTTTTCCAGCAGACAGTCCAACAGTTGATCCTGGTTGTGTTTCTGCTCTGTGTCCATGTTCTGCTCAGGAAACACTCAGAAAAATAAACGAGGGTTCTGCAAGTGAAGAGCCTCTCATCTGGAGGTGGTTCTGCTCAGGACTGAAGGCTCTTCATGTTGAGGAGTTCTTTGGTTTGGTTTGCAGGAAGCAGCAGGAAATCAGAGCTGCAACTCACGAATATTTTCACTATTGATGAATCATTTGTTCTGGAAAACACCAGAAAACTGAGAAATGTTTGTGTCAGTTTTCTAAATCCAAAGCAGGCGTCTGACCAAGACCCCAGAAATGTTCAACTCATTCCAATGGAAAGAACACAGAAGTGCTTTTATTCAGTGATTTTTCAAACAGAACCATCTTGAAAATGGTTCCCAAAAAACAGATTTTAGTTTTTTGGTTACGGTGCCAGAAGAAAATTGTTCTGATGTTTCTTTGAGGCGCCGTTTTGGGGTTCTTTAAAGAACGTCTTGCTTGAAGGTTCCATGTGGTGAAAAAGTAAAAATGTTTCCTTTATGGCACCACTGTGAAGAACCATTTTTGGTTCCACTTTGTACTTTTATTTGTCTGGATGCAAAGATGAATGGACTAAACTGTTAAATTCATCACCAACTATTTTGAATCAATTATTCAGTTTAACTAAGTTTTTAAAGACAGAACTGTCTAAATTCCCTGATTCCAGTTTGTTAAATGTGAATATTTTCTGGTTTCTTTCCTCCTCGGTGACAGTAAACTGAATATCTAAAAACACAAGACATTTGTCATGCTTGTCAAACGCTGACGGACATTTTTTCATGTTCTTACATTTTATAAACTAAAGAATTAATCATCTGATGCAGAAAATAATCCACAGATTAATCGACAATTAATCTCGAGTTGCAAATTGAACCGTCATCAAACCAAACTCTGTTCAAGAAAAGAGTTTGAAGCGAGACAGCGAACACTGTGAATCTGGTTTTTTAGCTCAGATTTGGTCGCCTCCAGCTGATTTTAGAATCGGGATGAATTTCTGTCGAGACTCTCTGCTCTCTTCACATCTGCAAAAACGACGTCTGTCAACAAGAAGCCAGAAACACGACGGTTTGTTTTTGGCAGCGACTACATGAAGCCTGATTAATGTTGGCAACGGAGCTGCAAAGATTCATCAATGAGCTGTCAACAGTTCAGAGTTATTTTGATCATGGATTCCATTTTTATAGTTTAAAAAAAGTCAAAATTCTGTGATTTCAGCTTCTTAAATGTGAATATTTTCTGGCTTCTTTCCTCCTCGGTGACAGTAAACTGAGTATCTGGGCAAAACGAGTCAGACTTTAGGAAAAGGTTTGTCGCTTTTTTTTTTTTTTTTGTCATTTTAGAACCCAAACGGCTGAAAATGAACTAGTTTATTGGCTTCTTACACCGAAAAAGACATTTAAGGTGGTTGCAGTGAGACCACATCAAATGGAGGAGGCAGAGTTTCTGGTCGGATGTTGTACAAACTGATCTACAGGAAGGCTCTTAGTCTGAATACTGGACAGTTGTTGGAGACATTTCTATAGGTGACCAATAAATGGATGTTTTGCTTTTTTCAGTTAATCAGCAAACTGACTGGTAGAAGCACTAAGTGGCGATCCTACATTTTGGTCACGTCCTCCCATCTAACCTCCTCAGAATCAGCTGGTTTTCATCTACAGTAACTTTAATATATTTAATGAAGCCATGCAAAGTTTTGCCTTCATACTACGAATACATTTTCAGAGTTACAGACCTTTGAAGTTGCAGTTTTTAATGACTTTTTCCCCATCATTTCTGAGCCTCATGACTTCATCAGTACAGCAGATAAACACACGATGCTTTCAGGGCACTTTTATGGGAACTTTTTTTTCTGATTTCTATACAAAATGTTCATGGAGTTAAAACTGTGTTGCCTTTTCCTGAGCGGTGTTTCTGATATTTTGTCCACCACCTCCCTGACGTCAGGGTCCATATCAGATCTAAAGCTTCTTTGAACCGAGTCGGGATCGATTCTTCTCTGCAGCACATTTGGATTCATGCTGCAGCTGCTCTTCATACGTCGAGGAATATTACCCGAGGTTTGTGCTGCGTCTCCTTCAGGTCGCACCTGATGTCAGCGAAGGTTTTAATCTATAATTTAGCTCCTTCCTTGTTGCCTGCAGAGCAGAAATCGCTGAGGAGGAGTTGGAGACTGTCAGAATAATCTGATCCGCTCCGTTTGAACCGAGCGGCGCTTCGTCCTCGTATCTGAAAGCTTAACATCACCTTAAACTGGAGGAGAGATTTTATTCTGACTCAGGATTAGATGAGCTGGTGGCAAAAAAGCAAAATTAAAGTGGACTGTGATGTGGTAGAGACTTTATAAAGACGGATGATGATTCTGTCATACAAAAAAATCCTCCAAACGTGTCAGCGATGCAGGAAAACGGCCTGTTTTCAACAAACTGCTTTAGTATTTCAGTCGCAGCAGCAAGAATCCTGAACTTTCAAATTCAGCAACTGACTCACTGACAAAGTTTGTACAGTTTCTATTTTCTCCACAAAAGAACAGATTTTTTTCATTTATTTTTTAGTACAAGAAGAAGAACGTTGTGAATTAATGGATTTTTAGCTCAGATTTGGTCGCCTCCGGCAGATTTCAGAATCAGAACGGATTTCTGTCAGTTGGGTTTTCAGGTGACATCAGTTGGAGGTTTTAGTAGTTTGACAAAGTGCAAAAGTTTCTCTAGAAAAATCTAATCAGGTTTATTGTCATTGTGCTGTACGTACACAGTAGTACAGGCAAGATGAGAGAGCGTTTCTTCAGGATCATTTAAGTTTTGCAGAATGAACGTCTAGGATAAGACACTAAACGTTCACTGTCACTGTCTCCTGAAGGGGGCGCTGTGTCCATGCTCGCCGCCATCACGTTGAACATGGCGAACCTCTTCAGGTCCTGGTAGGTCTTTAGGGACACAAAGACACACGATGGTGTGACGATGGTGAAGCCGCAGATGCTGCCCAGAGCTAGCTGTCTGTCTGTCTGCATCCCCTCCAGCTGTATGTCCATCTGGGATGTTGTCATGGAGCCATGTTTCTGTTAAAGCAAACTCACAGCAGTCCCTCCACTCTCTGCGGGTTTCTCTCGACAAACGTAGCTCGTCCAGCTTGTTGTGGAGGGAGCAGACATTGGAGAGTAGGAGGACGGTCCTGCTGGTCTGGAGGGGTTAGCCTTTAGCCTAGCATGGATCCTGCTGGTCTGGAGGGGTTAGCCTTTAGCCTAGCATGGATCCCAGCTCTCTTCCTTCTCTGTTTACATTCGTATCGTTTGCACTTCCTTCTCTCTTGGGTAACTGCCGGCGTAGTCTCTGATCGGACTCAGTGTTGGTGTGGTATGACCACATCACAACCGATCGCCACAATTCTAGCGCCGTTCACTGTCCTGTCGTCCAGCAAAGTCTCCCAGCGGCATGTTTTGTGGAATGAACGTTCAAAATGTTTCCTGAAGGGGCTGCTGTGTGTATGCCCGCCGCCATCACCATGATTAACTGATCAGCAGCAGCACTTTGGTTTAGGTTTCCTCATCAGCAGCAATTAGTTTTAGTAACAACGAGCCAGAAATACGACGTTTTTTGTTGTTGTAGTTTTTAAAGAAAAGCAGTCTCCATTTGGTGGACATTTGTCATCGACATTTTTCACCGTTTCCTGACATTTTACAGACAGTCAGCTGTGAACAGTCGTTAGTTACGGTCCATGTCCGGTTTACCTCGGAACATGGTTCGTTTGTGGATTTCATGAAGTAATTCTGGGCTTTTAGCAAGAAAAGTACTAATAAATTAGAATTTTTGGCCTATTTAGGGCAAAAACTAACAGTTATTTTCATTTGTCATAAAAAATCTGATTGTATATTTATAATTTGAAAAAAAAATATTATTCCCATCACAGCGTTTTAAAGCCAAAGGTGACGTCTTTAATACGACTTCTTCAGTTCTACCACCAGAAACAAGACTCAGGTAGCCATCAACCAATTATTTAATTAGTTGTTTACTGTGAAATTAACTGACGACTATTTGTCTGCTATTATAAGTCATTTAAAAATATATACAAAGTCTACATTCTGTGCTTTCAGCTTCTTAAATGTGAATTTTTTGTGGTTTCTTTCCTCCGTGGCGACAATAAACTGAATCTCTTTGGATGAAACAAGACATTCGGGAAACACTGATGGACATTTTTCACCATTTTTCTGATTTGCAAACCAAACAGCAAATGGAGAAAACACTGTACATTGACAATAATCGTTAGCTGTTGCACTGATAGCGAACCAGCTAAATTGCGGCGATGAATAAATATTAAACTCCCAAAACGTCAACATGTTGACGCACAGAGATGCTCGTTGTCGCACAACCGCTCCAGCCACAGTCTTGGATTTTGGTTTTACTTCCGTTGAACGTGTTCCTCCTCACACTCTCGCCATGTTTGTCTCTGCAGGCTGTACGTGGCGTCGAGTTCCAGAGACGGCAGCAGCGACTCCTTGAGTCCTCTGCAGTGGTGCCGGCAGGTTCTGGACAGCCCCAGGTCCGAGGTGGAGGCCGCCAGGAGGTCGCTGTCCCTCCGGCTGGAACAAGGTGAACACGACTCCAGAGCCGACGACAGACGAGCAGCACTGTTGTTGAGCTGCTGTTTGTCTGAGAAAAAAAAACCAGTCCAAAGTGCTCAGAGCTCCGCTGTGACATAGAGCTGCTTCACTCCATCTGAAGAATCACGTCTGTGGATCAGTTTCTGCTCAACCGTCTGATTTACCTGCATTTTATTCTGTCATAAAATATAGATATTTATTGAGATAGCTGTAAAAATGTAGCTCCATATATCAAATACTTTCTGAGATAATTAAAGAAATGTAAATGCCAGTACACCAACGTTCAGCAGGTTTGAAGTTTGAGGCCGTTTGAACAACTCAGGACCGATTTAACATAAACACCTGAAACGTTCCCTGTTGTTTCTCATCATGTCATTGATTCAGAATCTGTATTATTGGACCAGTCAAATCATCTGAAGCCCATTTTTCAGCACAAATGAACAAAATAACTGATAATGCAGAAGTCAACTAGGGTTATTTGAACCATTTGTACCTGCGTGGCACAATAATGCAAAATAAAACATTAACACTACTTTATAATGTGAAATACTTGATCACAAAAACGGTGGAAAAAAAGATTCAGACCCGATTCAGCAGGTCTGACAAGTTGTTCCACAAACATATTGGCAGATCGGTTAATTTGAGTTTCAAAATGGCTCTTCCATTTTTGGGCGCCAATTTCTTTTGACATAGTGAGAGCTTAATCTCAGCTCACCCATAATTAGAGATTATTTTGACTATGAGTACTAATATTTTAGGTTCTGAATCAATGAGAGATGTCAGTGAAAATTTCATGTTTTTATCTTTAATTGTTCCTGAGATGATGATGTTCCAACAGCCTCAAATTTCAATGTGGACGAGCAGTTTTAGAAGATTATCTCAAAGTTTTAAAATATATTAATCTGAAATTTCACAGATAGCATTTCAAATATCTGTATTTTCTGATTAAACAAGATTGAAACAATCAGAGATGGCTGAGCAGAAGCCCCTGGTGAGTTCAGATGGAATAAAGCTGCTGTTTGGACGAGAGGAAACGGAGGGAAACTCTCAGGTTTTGACCCCGAAGGTTGAAAGCAAAGGAGGAGGCTCTTCTGAGAGTCGGCAGAAGCTGATTCGATAGTGACGAGGAAAGATGAGGCGACTGTTGCTGCAGCGTAGATGAAGATGTGCTGTTGGATAAACGCTCTGTACTCGGGTTGGGATAGCATTAATGGTCGAGGAGGAACTGATTGTATGCATGTTGTGTTTCGGGCCTCAGACATTTTCAGTTGTCCTCGTCTGTGTTTCCAGAGACTCTCCCACCGTTCTGCTGTCACACTGATGAGTCTGCTGTCCGCCCAGGCTATTTTAAACTGGCTGCTTTAAGCTTTTCTTGCCAACAAACACAAGAGCTCACCGTCTCTCGCAGCACAGAACGAGGGCGAAACGTCTAGACTCCCGCTGACTCGTGAAGGAGGCGGTTTGGCACAAATACTGACTCTCTAGACTTTCAGACAGATGTCGGGTTCAGCCACCAAGTTTTTAGTGCTCAGTTATTTCTCTGATGAACTGGTTGATCGGTGAGTCTGTAAAACGTGAACCCAAAGTCAGAGGCGACGTATTTAAATCACTTTCAGCAACCTGAAAATCTCAAGTTTTCATGAAGACCGTTCGGTAAAGCACAGATGCATGTTTCTTTTGGTAAATTCACCACTTTAACCTTTTGACGCCAAAGAATTTCTGGACTTTTTAAAAAAAATTGCAGTATAAGGTCCTGCAGCTCTGTAGAAACAGAACAACCACAGCTGGAAGAAGAGAGAACTCAGGAAAAAAAAAAGTTACATTTCTTTCGTTATTCATTTTAGAAAGAAAAAAAAAAAAAAATGGGATTCAACCTGAACAACATTTTCGTGCCAACAAGTTTTACCAACAATGAGCAAACATGTCAACTCTACATATTATTGATATTTAACTATTTACATTTTTAATTCATATTTGTTTCGGGATAAACACAGTTCAGCTGAAAACGCTCAGATTTTTTTGTCACCTGACTTTTGGTCGCGGCACAGTCGCGTATAGCTTCATGGTTGCTCTGAGGAGTTTTGAATTTTTGTTTTTTTACAGAATCTGCTTAGAAAAAATGGTTTGGTTTTGGATTTCTATGTGTAGAATATAGTGATTTTATTATTATTTTTAATTAAATATTCCCAGATGGAACGACACATTACAGATGATTAGTTCAAACACAGACTGCACGGTGGAGCAGTGGTTAGCACCGTTGCCTCGCAGCTAGAAGGTCGCCGGTTCGCGTCCCGGGATCTTTCTATGTAGGGTGTGCATGTTCTCCCCGTGCAGCGTGGGTTCTCTCCGGGTTCTCCGGCTTCCTCCCACAAGGTCCAAAAACATGTTGAGGTTAATTGGTGATTCTAAATTGTCCGTAGGTGTGAATGTGAGTGTGCTTGGTTGTCTGTCTCTAAGTGTAGCCCTGTGACAGACTGGTGACCTGTCCAGGTGAACCTGCCTTCGCTCTGAGTCAGCTGGGATAGACTCCAGCCCCCCATGACCCTAGTGAGGATTAAGCGGTGTATAGATAATGGATGGATAGTTCAAGCGCTGTTGGTTTGATTTTATCTTTTTGTTTCTTAAAGATAAAATGCATTTCAGACATGCAGACAGGTTGGAGGTTGTAGAGGGATAAAGACGCTTCTTGAACCACCTGTGTGCAAATGTCCCCCCTAAACTCCCTGTCTAGCAGGGACACCATCACTGCATCCTGGGCTGAGCCTCAACTTTACTGATTTAAAACAGAAATTTGAAACAAAGCGATTAGAAAATTGCAAAAGGGCTGCAATTTATTTACTTTTGGCGTATTTTTAAACAATAAAGCAGTTTTTGATTAAATATTATCATTGTAAATTAATTTTCTAGTGAAACTGGTATTTTAAGGTTAAATAGTTCAACCGCTGTCGGAAAGTTAAAAATGATTATTTCTAATTTTGCAGCTTCTTTCTATAATAAAGGGTGTAACATTTTGGTGACTTTTGATTTATTTTTCTATTTTCCGAGGGTATTTAAGATGGCCTTTTAGACGTGCCAGCTGGTTTTGGGGTTCAGAGAGTGAGGAAGTTGGAGAATTTAACAATTAGTTTCCTTTTACTCCTTGATAAACTGAAAATCGGAGCAGTGAGAAGTGCCTGATGTCGCTCTATCAGCTGTGAAGTTCTGATTTGTGACTAGTTCTGCTCTTTAAAGGCAGCTCGCGGTGACTTAAATAAGCCTCTAACACGGATCTGTTGCTTGGATCACCTTCTGGAGGCTCAGCGGGACAGTCGAGCTGTAATCTGTCCACACCTCCATGGCATTAAGCCGGTCAGAGCCGGGTCAGCTGACCGGCACGTCGCCGTGACGACAAGCTCCTCTTAATTATGTGGAGCAGCAACACGGAAGAGTTCGAATCAGCTGCTGAAAGACCAGAGCTGTGGGTCTGTCGGTTGTCATGGCAACCTCGAGATATTTAAAACTAGATCTTGAGCTTGTGGATGGTGAATCAGGGAATCATGGATCCACTTGAGCACTTCCCTTACAAAATAAAAGTCCTGAGCTGCTCTATTGTCTGGGAGAAAAATCACATGTAGAAGTCTAAATGAACCAACTGGATATTGAAGACATTCACCCCCTAAAACTCAAGAGTTTTGTTTTTTACAGGAAAATATCTCAAGTTTTAACAAAGATTTGGTCGTTCAGTGAAGCGGAGATTCACGCTTCTTCTGGTAAACTGACCATTGTAAACCTGTCAGCTCCAGTTCGCCACACACGTTGTCAATTTCATCGAAGTTTAGTGGAAAAATAAAACCTTTTTCCATTTTTAAGACCGAGTTTTCATATTAAAAGTATTTAATGTGTTTTGTATTATTGTGACATATCACCCGTTGACTAATTTTCGCTGAAAGGTGGAACTTTTTATGACGTCTTCAGGTTTTTTTTCATACTTCAACTCACCCATAAACTGAGAATATTTGATCTGCTTCTTCAATATTCCAGATTCTGAATCAATGACGTGATGAGAAATTAGGTTTTTGTCTCCAGTAGCTCCTTCAAACGGCTTTAAATGTCAAAAACCTGCTGAAAGTGGGTCGACGGGCAACTTTTGAACGATTATCTCTCAATCTAAGGTTTCACAGATTCCATTTTAAGCAAATGAGAGGCAGTCGAGTAGAAGTGTTTAGAAGAAAGCGCACAAGAGAACGCTGATGTTTAAGAATTATTCTCCAAATATAATTAAGAAAATGAATTTTTTTTTAAAGCACTGAAGACAGAGCAATTTGAAGACGTCACATTGGGCTTTAGTGAACCATGACTCATAATTTTCCCTATTTTCTTTTTGACATTTTATACAAGATTCAAGTTTCTTCCACAACAAACCGAGGACGCCCGCCCTCTGTGAAAGGACTCGTGCTCGCTGCGGTTGTCGGTCAGCGTTGGACTGAAGTTGCAGCAGCTGTGCAGCTTGTTGCATCAGAGAATCCTCCAGCAGCTCGGCCTCCGGTTCACAGCGGTGAAATGGAGAGCTGTTGCCATAGAAACAGTTTACATGAAAGGAACGCAGCCCCGTCGCAGCCAAGTGGTTCGTACTGGCACCGGCAGGTAGCGGAGAGAAAATCCTTTTTTTTTTTTTCTCACTCTGGAGGAAGAGCAGCTTCGTCTTCATTCGTCTTTGTGTTCAGAGTTCCTCCTGTTTCTATGAATAGATCGGAGGTGTTTGTGCGTCTTTGTGCGTCCTTGTGTTTGCTCGCAGCTGCGGAATGAGCAGCTCGGTGCTCTTGAATGCAGCTTTGTCCCGTTGAATCGAGCCGTCGGTGACAGACTCAGAAACACGACTGTCTGGCTTTGTGTCGACCGTCTGAAGCCAGAAACGCTCCAGAGTGACGTTTGAGATTCAAGTCAAAGGATGTGTTCATAATCGATAGGCAGCACACGGACTGATTGATTGACTGATTAGTAATTCACACATTTGTGGTGCCTGAACATCTGAATCACAGGAATTTCTTGCATTTTTGAAGGACGATCAAAGAAAAGCGTTTGACAGCAGCGTTGGGCGATTCGTTAAAATGATCCAACTGAAATGTTTCCGATTTAAATATTAACATCCTACAATAAGATTTATTTGTATTTTTAACAGAATAATTTAAATATCAATGCCAACAATATCATCTAGTAAACACTACATGTTAACCTCAAAACCATGCAGTAATATGAATACATGCATTTAATCGGATATTTTGAATATTAAACTTTATTATTTAGTAATATTGTTGGCTCTTCTACATAATATGATTAAACTGTTTAGATCCTACAGTGTTGTATAAATTTACTAATTTACTATACAACTCGATAATAATGATACTAATAATATTCACTGTTATATTAATATTAATTAAATTAATAACTGTATGATCTGTGTGTAAATTCACTTGACTAATTTGAATATTAAGGTTTTAATCCTACAACGTTAATTATAATAAATTAATGTGACTGATTTATATATTTGGGTTTTAGAGAAATGACTGTGTGTGTGTTAGTTGTTTACCTGTGTGTGTGTCCTCCTGCTCAGTGTCCAGGTGGAGGAGCTCCCTGTCCAGCCCTTCTCCTCCTCTTCTTCCTCCTCCTCCTCTTCCTCCCCTGAGCCGAGTCGCCGGAGTTCCTCCCATCACTTCTTCTTCTGCTCCAGTTAAACCCAGTTCGACCCCCCAGTCTGAAAGACACGGTACCATTTCAACCTTTCAGTTCCACACATTCATCACTTAACTTTATCTGCACCACAGATAAAAACTGTCACTTTATTTAAAAAAAACACATTAAAAAAATAAAATAATCGACTTTAAACTCACACGTGTGACATAAAATAACGTCACAGTAACGAAGTCTTCCTTTTTTTTTAAGGTTAATATTTTAACGACTGCACTTAAAGCTTCTAAAATGAGATGCAGCTCATGAGAAATACCAGGAAAAAAAACCAAGTGTTGGTTCAGTAGTTCTACATTTTGTTTAATTACAGAAGTTTTCGTCTAATATCTGTTCATATTGGTCACATATAAGATGTGATTACTTTGCTTTATGGCTCTTTGGGACAGTTTTGTCTTAATATTTTGTTTGCTTGCTTTCGTTTTTTGTACATTTTTTTTGTCTTCTGTCTCACTTGTACTTGAATACTTTTGTTTTGTTTATTTTAAGTCTCCTTTTGCTTTGCGTCTCATTTTTGTCGTTTTGTGTTTCGATTCTTGAGTCTCACTTGTGTCGTTTGTTGGGACAGTTTTCTGACATTTTGTGTCCTGTTAGTTTTAAACCCGATTTAAAAAAAAAAAACCAGTTTGTGTGTCTTGTTCATCTCTATTTTTTGTTGACTTCACATCGTCAGTTCTACCAGCAGCCTGCTGTTCAGTCCTTTTATTTTAAATTGGCTGCATTTTTACACTATTTTATTTCAGTGAAGCAGTTTTTATGGATTTTTTTTTTTTTGGTGTCACATGATGCATCTTGTGGAATTTTCTCTGTTCTTGTACTTGAAGATCTGAGTCGTACTTGTGCTCAGAAATGTTATTCATCTTCTCATTTCTGCACTTCTATCACGTCTTTTTCCAGGTTTAACTTGTAGAAATGAATGTTTGAATCACAATAACCTCTGGTCCTTCCTCCCCCCTCAGCTCCCTCCCTGTCCTCCCCCCTCCACCCAGTCCTCCATCGGACCCTCAGTCCCATCTCCAAGGATCTCTCCCCCGTCCAGGAGAGGACTCCCACCTTCCTCCCCCACCCGGCCAGCAGAAGTAAGACTCGCCGCTGCTCCTTGAACAGCTCAAGGGTTGACTGTCTCTGACAGGCAGGACATCTTCAACTCGCCGCCTCGTTTTTGTCAATTTGTGTCTCGTTTTGAGTTTGTTTCATTTGATTATTGACTCATTTTGTTCGGTTTTATGTTGCTTTGTCTGGTTTTTGTCACTTTGTCTCCCTGTGTTGTGATTTTTGTGTC